CACACACACACACACACACACACACACACACACACACACACACACACACACACACACACATGCACCAAACCCCCACCACGCGTCTACGTGCTCCTACATCAAAGCCAGTCGGTCTCGAAGAGCGTCACGCAACAAGTCCCCGTCGACGTTCGTGCAACGTCGCCGCCCGCCCGCGCCGTTCCCCACAATGCCCATGTCCACTCTCCGGCGCACACCATTCTCATCCACCTCCCACAACAGGTTTTCATCGAAGTCGATCCCGACGTCTAAGAGGATGTTGTGCAGAATGCACACTGCCACGAATTGCTGGGGCAAGGTATCCAGGTTCGTCTTGTGGGTGCGCAAGAAAAGACGCCACATGCACTTCAGCCGCCCGAAAGCTTTCTCCACACACCCCCGCACCACCTTCTGCCGCGTGTCAAACCGCTCCTCGTCAGGACCTTGGTCGATTCCTCCGTACGGCTGCACGATCCAGGGGCAGACAACAGGATAACCGTTGTCGCCTAGCAGGTAACCTCGCTTGACGACTCCGTGCGGCAGACTCACCGGAGGTGCGTCGAACAGCTCGCCAGCTTGTGCACACCTCCACAGCTGGGAATTGTGCAGGACACGGACGTCGAGCACGCTTCTCGGGTATCCGATGTGGACGTCCATGATCCGCAAATCCAAATCCACTACCACCTGCGCCTGCACGGAAAACTTATGTTTGCGGTCGTAGTAGTTGGCAGATGGTGCGCCGGCGGGCTTGTCAATGAAGATGTGTGTGCATTCGATTGCGCCGAAGCAGTTGGGGAAACCCTTGTCACGGAAAGCGCGCAGAATCTGCGCGCATCTACGGCCCACTGGCCACTTTATCGCGTCTGGGTACGCCTGCAGCAGTGCCGAAGTGACGTCGCGGACGGCCTGCAGTCCAATTGCTCTCCCGATGCCAAAGGCAGACGTGCCGCTCTCGTACGTCTCTCCTGTCGCCCACCTGTACAGCGCGAACGCGATGACCTGCTCCACCGAGAATGGCATCCTATAGTGTGTCACCTTTTTCTCCACGTACGCGGCACACGAGGCCACGATCTGCCTGAACATGACCATCGACATGCACATTTTCTGACGATAGTACTCGTCTGTCGCGTCGTCACACAGGCGGAGGTCCTCCCATGTTCCGCCAGGCCGTTGTTTAATCCACCAGCGAGGGGTCTCCCGCGGGAAAACACCAGAAGACAGCGCGGCGCACAACTGGATACTGCCTGATACGTAGCCACGCAATCTGGAGTTTCGCCAATGCGCTGCAACAGCGCTCTTCGTTTGTGGAACTCCGCCAGCATGTCGCGTGACGAGGACAGCACACCGCGCATCGTGTTCACGGCGACGGCAGTCACGGTCATCGCCACCGCGTCGATTTCGTCATCCCGACGACCCTGCCCTCGCCCGCGAACGTCCATATCCGAGAACCCCGTGCTCTCCATAGCTAGACGCCTGCCACAACCGCCAAACAAATGCCCGCTGCTGAAAACCGCCACTTTGACGACGCACGCCGGTGCCGAAGATGCGGCCGCTTGTGTACGACGCCACAGGAGATGACGCACGGCGCAGCCGAAGACGCACCCGCTGCTCCACGCTTCCACAGGGCAACGCGCACGACGTAGGTGAAGAAGCGCCCACCACGAAGATGCGCCCGCTGGTCACAAGTTGCGCGGAATCGCAAGACGGATACCCACGGCGTACGCTTCGCCACTGCCGTCTTTTGAACGTCACACGCGTCGCCTGGCCGTCCTCCGCCGCGCTACCGTGCATCCGCGAAAATTCAAATTTGAATTTTTGAAGTTCAGGGGGACCACGCTTTTCACCCACCCCTTTTTCCTTCGCCCAAGGGCCTCCGCAGTATGTACCACGGACAACATCCAGAAAGGGACGAACATCGGCGGCGCGGCTGCGTATACGCATATGAAAACCGGCCGCGGGAGACCTTTTAGGACAATTCCTAAAAGATGATTTTTAGGACTGCGTGTAACGGCGACGCGCAAAATCCTAAAAAACCTTTAGGACTTGTCCTAAAAGTTTTAGGATTCTTTTAGGAGTGTCTAACGAGACCCTTAGTTGCCCAATACTTTTTTCTGAGCTTCATGGCTTTTTGAGAAGAATAGCAATGTTAACAGAGTAGCTGGGACCCTGGACTCGATTTTCAGGAAGTTTTATTTGGAGGGTTGGTCTCCGGCAGGTTTCATCCGGGTTGAATTGTGAGGACCCCGGCCTCATTGATTCTCTGTTCTTTGAAATATAATTTTGGATTCTTCTCAAAAAAAAAAAAAAAAAAAAAAAAAGTCTCACTGTGACTAAGCAAAAGAAGTCCTATTGTGAGTCTTTGAGGGCACTAGGACTTTTCTCAATGTATCTGACTGCAATTACGACCCGTCCTGGATGAATCTGACCATAATCACGTCCAGAGCTTGGTGAAAAGTCCTACTGTGAATATGACTTGAATATGCCCTGAAGACCCTTCTACCTGGAGTCCTGTGGCTGACAGAACCCCGGGCCAGGTCCCACGCACCCGAATCCTCAGTTTCGGACCGTAGATTACGAAGGTCAACGGCCAGAAATGAAGAATCAGGGTAAGAGGGACTTGGGCGCTGCTCGTCTGGTTTAATTTTTTCATTTTTTTTCTCGTCTTTTTTTTTTTTTTTTTTTTTTTTTTT